TCATGACGTGAAGGCTCATGGTCGTAGGGAGGGTGGGATTTTTGAATCTTTTGTTTTTGGGATACAAAGATGGGTGTAGGTACCATATTTGCATACTAAAGTTATGGTAAGTATTACCTCATGAAAATTGGTTTTACATTAAAAAACCTCAAGTTTGAGGACACGGTAGTAAAACACATACCATGTGACTATAAATTTTAATAAGTCAAAATTTTCACAATTTCCTTTCATTCAAAATGACAATAATATTTTAACAAATTAAATTTTGTACCTGTTTGTAGAGGACATCTAATACACTCATGTCTCATTAATTCATGGATTCAATTTTTGTTAATGTGCCTTGAAATAGTTGAAATATCATCCCATGAAAATAATCTGCTATACGATATATCACAAAGGATTAAGATTTTGATGGTGGAGGTGAAAACAATATCATATTTACAGAATCTTGTCATCAAACTAAAAAAAATCACTTCTTCTCAAGCGATTCTGAATTCATTTGCATCAAAGATTTTTCCTATGAATACTTGATCAATTCATACATTTAGATTTACAAACAGATTATAAAGGAAGAAGCCATTGGTAAACAGACAGATGGCAGAATGTCGTTAAGATCAAGTGAGAGCTGTAAGTTCTGATATGCTGGCTAAATCCATCTATATAATCTACTTAGTTTTATCTGGAAATTCAATGGGGGTTTTAAATTTTTTTTGTTGCAAATTCAGTAATTATTTAAATCTTATTCAAAATCAAATTCATTCAAATTATCTAAGGATCGTGTCCTACAGGAAACAATAGTCTGTGAAGCTGTGTACATACAATAGTATCTTTTTGTACAAATAAAGCAGTAGGCATGCAAATCTAATACATAAACCTAGATGGATTTTATTTTAACAATTGACTTTTCTTCTAAATTAGACACAATTTCTACAAAGTGATGATTGTTTTTACATATTAATAAGCGTAGTTAATATTGGTGTTCCCCATAACCGTAACACCATAATCATAACCATAATCAGTGTGAACAGTGCGTATAAAGGCAAAAAATGAAAATAAATAATATTTTGAAATTTTTATCATGCAATAACAGTAAAAATTCTTATGTTATATGTACTTTATTCACTAAAAGTTTTATTTGTCCTGAACCTTTCACTACAAAGCCATAAGAATGAAGAAAAAAGGCACTTGCTTTTTATCTAAGGGAAACGGGAACAAAAAACTAAAACTGAAACACTGAAATTTGTAAAATATGATAGTTCTTAGAGCCATCACTATGGGACGATACAGAATGGACAGTTCTGCATTGTCAACACTGAAATGCTCCTGTCACGTAGTAATCACTATATAGTAGGCAGCAGACTTAGAGAACAGCAGCATTTACACAGCAAATACTGAGACTCAGAGACGTCAGCAACTCTTTGAGACGACCATACTTAGATAGCTAAGGAAACAACAGGCTGATTAAACGTACTGAAATCAAGTAAAGGACAGGATATCAAATTCTGGTATCCATCATGGATTCCTATAAAGTCCATGGTTATGTACACCATAATATGCTGGATTGTCTAAGAAATGTATGGAAAGATAAAGAGGGGGCAATCTAGCCTATGGAAATCCCAGTATGATTTGTTATTGATTTGACTGGTGTACGACACCACGGCTATGGTTTCTACGCTAAAACTCAGACTAGCCCCATAACCAACACAAGCGTATTTTCTTTCATCAGTATTTCCATAAGTTCTTGAATTAATAAAGAACATATTCCCGTTTATTTCAATTTCAACTGAGTTTCAGAAAATTAATGCAGAGGGCTTCATCACCTCAACTTTTATAAAAATATCATCAGTGAAATTATAAAAATATCACGAGTGAAATTGTTTTCACTTGTTATGATACTTTATCAAACAGTGACATTTTAAGGCTCAGTTGCATTTTTTTCCTTCTTCATTCTTACTAAAGAGTAGGATTTTAAAAAGAATGAACCTTCCTCTTCCTCCTCACTCCTACAGATCAGTAGGATTTTAAAAAGAATGAACCTTCCTCTTCCTCCTCACTCCTACAGATCAGTAGGATTTTTAAGAATCAACATTTTCCCTCCCTCCTCTCTCCTACAGATCAGTAGGATTTTTAAGAATCAACATTTTCTCTCCCTCCTCACTCCTACAGATCAGTAGGATTTTTAAGAATCAAACTCTTCTCTCCCCACCTCACTCCTTCAGACTAAGGATTTTTAAGAATCAACATTTTCTCTCCCTCCTCACTCCTACAGATCAGTAGGATTTTTAAGAATCAACATTTTCCCTCCCTCCTCTCTCCTACAGATCAGTAGGATTTTTAAGAATCAAAATCTTCTCTCCCCACCTCACTCCTTCAGACTAGTAGGATTTTTAAGAATCAACATTTTCTCTCCCTCCTCACTCCTACAGATCAGTAGGATTTTTAAGAATCAACATTTTCCCTCCCTCCTCACTCCTACAGATCAGTAGGAACTGTCTTTTCATCCCTTTGCAAGTAGGGCTAATTCATTTATACAACCTCACATACAATTTACAAATATTCAACATAGGATATGAGCTAATCTCAAATTTCATTATTTCAGGCAGTTTTGATAAAAATATTCCCTTCACCACTACATGAAACATAATGAGCTGCTACCAACATCAAACATGCAGTATTTAAAATGACTGGACACAATGGTAAACACTTACTGTTCCTCCCATATAGTTTCCATTTCAATGCTGAAATATCACATGTATGTCACAGTTACTCGTTCCACAGAATTTTGGCTATTATCATTACAAGAGGTTTAGCCATGTGAATACCGATGCATCTGTTACAGACCTAGAGGCTTAGCACAGTTAATGGAATGGCTGATAAACAGACAAATTTAATATTAAAGATTTAAGAGACCATCTGAATGCTGCCATTACTACAATGAAGTGGCTTTATTTGGGATCATAACTTTTCTTTTTCTTTTGTCTGAAAAGCAATATCAAAACGAAGCAACATGACCCCAGAAAATCATAATACAGAGACATCAAGCGACTTTAATAGGGCTAATAAGACAAAAGACAGCATGCTTTGTTGTTCATTAATTCAATTTTGTGATTTTTCCAGCCTCGGAAAATTATTACAAAAAATATTTTTGTTAAAGTGGTTAAACATAGAGACTAAATAATTTCTCAAGGGAAGTCCACACAATAACAGCTGGGATACAAAGCTGTCTGATCATAGTAAATCTACCATTAAGTATAACCACTCCAGAATTTCATGTATAGCCTCCTTAGTGCTGTAGAAATCAATTTTGAAATATTAAGCACACAAGATTAGCTTTTATCTTGAACTACTGTACAATTCTTAATTAAGTTGGAAATCGGGAAAATTCTCATGGTTATCATCCCAAAAAGAATGTTAGTTTTAAATTTTTTAAAGAATATTTTGTTTGCAAATTTTGGTCTTCTATGAATATTGATTTCACCAACAATTACTGTAAAGTGAAATATCATCCCTTTAAGTCTGAAGGAAGAAAAAAAATGTAATTCGCTTAGTAACAGTAAAGAGAATGTAAAGTGATTTTGTACAGTACAGCACAGCCTTCAACCTATATGTAATGGCAGTGAACTTTGCATGCCTACAGGACAAACAGTTGGCAGACACTGATAGGGAGACCATTGAGCTTCCAGTATAGAGTAAGATAACCACATCTATAAGAAAGCCATTGTAGTCCAAACGATCCTGAAAATTGACAGATTAAAGCGTCCCTCTGGGGAGTACTGCATTTCATCCTGATGTAGAAAAAGAAATAAAATTACGGTGAAATTCAACTGATTGCCACGAGTTACCTAGTACCTTAGATTGACATTAAAAGTCCTAAAATGGCTAAAAGAGAAGCTTTGTAGTACCAAGGGACTACTTAAATTGTCAGGACATATTAACATGTCAGGTTGCTACTGAATCAACCGCACTGAAATGCTTCCATTTCCTGGTTGGTTTCGATATCATATAGAACAATGGAAATCCACTTCAATATAAAAACAGTGCTATCAGTTCATTCCTAGGACGAAAGGGCTTGGTTTTGGAGTCAACCAACACAGTCCACTTTCTTTAAAAAACACCAATTCAGTAAAGAGTTTAACAACACAACAAATTGATACAGAACACATGTAGTGATTTCTCTGCATTTATTGATGTTTTCCAATACCTGCAAACAAAAGATAACTGAGCGCAGGCCAGATATTAAACTGCATTACCCTTGATTTCCATGCATTTTCTTTCGTTTTTTCAATAATGCACTATGCTTCACAGCATCCTCCTATCCATCTATTGTGACAAGTACAGATTTCAAGTTTAAAGTACTTGATGAGTAGGTGCCAATTCTGATACCTTTTTCTGCTTCTCAAATCAAAGAAGTAGGTTATAGTGATCATCATAGAATGTAGACCATTGACAAGCTAAAGGTGGACTCAATGAGTCTACAGCACATGGACAGACAAGTTGGAGTATATGAACCTACAACACATGGACAGACAAGTTGGAGTATATGAACCTACAACACATGGACAGACAAGTTGGAGTATATAAACCTACAACACATGGACAGACAAGTTGGAGTATATGAACCTACAACACATGGACAGACAAGTTGGAGTATATGAACCTACAACACATGGACAGATAAGTTGGAGTATATGAACCTACAACACATGGACAGACAAGTTGGAATATATGAGCCTAAAGCACATGGACAGGCTTGATCGATTAAATTGATCTAAAGTCCAATAGACACTGGCTATTTGAACCTACTGTCATAAGGACAGGATTTTGAAGTAAATGCAACGACATCCCTCTCAATCAATATACTTTCAACTCATATGTAAAAAAAGTTAAATGTACTCACAGTCCTCTGGTCAACTGTGATTGACTATGTTGACTGATTGCATTCCCCTTAAAACACTAAGGTTTGTAAACTAGATGTTCAAACTAAACATTTTAAGACTTACCTATCATCTGCATAGTCTCCATATGAAGAACGTCGTGAATGTAATTTAGCAAGTTCACTCCAAGCTGAGTTAGTGCTGAGTAAGCCTGGACTACGAGGGGCCTGAAATCTGTCATAGGGACTAGGAGACAGATACCCTGGGCTGAGAGGTGGGAGACGACCCTCAGATTTTGATAGCCCATTAGAGATAGTCAAAGGCTGAAGCTGGGAAAAGTTGTCATCCTGAACAAATGTTAACGGGTCACTTGGACGTCTAGAGCCTGAAACCAAAGTAAACATGTAGACAAAATATGAAACAGGCAAACTATGTTTAAAAGTTTCTTTTGGCAAAATGAAATAAACAAGAGACCTATGGGCCTTAATATTTTTATTATTTGGTCATCCGACTATGAAATCTTTTAGCAGTGAGAAGGGTTATTTTTTCTGTAACGAAACATTATGAAGAACCTGTTTTCCATGATGCAGATGGTAGTTTTGGTGAGGAGTAGTTTGTTACCTATTTTTTGACAGTAAAGTTGGAGCACAATCCAATTGGTGAAACTTAAGAAGTTTGAAATAGATGTTGCACAAGAAAACCATGATTGTGCAATCATGTTCCAAAAAAACCTCAGTGGCTGCTGTAGCAGAGTTTTGACAAAGTTGAATATTAACAAAACTATGTTGGCTACCTATCCATATCATTCCCACCAATTTTAGCTCAATGTCACCAGTGGAACTGGACAGGAAGTTTGAAATATGTTTTTCAAGATAGTGGCCATGGTGGCCTCCATGGATTTCAAACATACCGAAAATAACAACACTTGATCAGAAATGGTCTTGAAATGTCAAGTTTACAAACTGCGGATGGCACACAACGATGGACAAAGCATGATGGTTATAGGTCTAAAGGGTTATGGGATGAAACTATCAGGAAAGACAGAGAATTTCCTACAGCCAGAGATCCAAATACACTTCATGCTTGAAAGAATTAATAATAAAAAGGTCAAAATAAACACTCAGTCAATTTTAAATAGATATAAGGTCAACAGGTCAACAGAACTGTCCCACTGGCACGAAAACACTAATATCAAAATAAAACTTAAGTCTGGATTTAAATGTTCAACATCCGAAACAAAATATCAACAATGTGATTTCATTTCTAGAACCTCCAACAAACAAAATATCAACAATGTGTGTTCATTTCTAGAACCTACAACACCAAAATATCAACAATGTGTGTTCATTTCTAGAACCTACAACAAACAAAATATCAACTACAACACCAAAATATCAACAATGTGTGTTCATTTCTAGAACCTACAACACCAAAATATCAACAATGTGTGTTCATTTCTAGAACCTACAACACCAAAATATCAACAATGTGTGTTCATTTCTAGAACCTACAACAAACAAAATATCAACAATGTGTGTTCATTTCTAGAACCTACAACACCAAAATATCAACAATGTGATTTCATTTCTAGAACCTACAACAAACAAAATGTCAACAATGTGTGTTCATTTCTAGAACCTACAACACCAAAATATCAACAATGTGTGTTCATTTCTAGAACCTACAACACCAAAATATCAACAATGTGTGTTCATTTCTAGAACCTACAACACCAAAATATCAACAATGTGTGTTCATTTCTAGAACCTACAACACCAAAATATCAACAATGTGATTTCATTTCTAGAACCTACAACAAACAAAATATCAACAATTTCCAACAACAAAATATCAACAATGTGTGTTCATTTCTAGAACCTACAACACCAAAATATCAACAATGTTCTAGAACCTACAACAAACAAAATATCAACAATGTGTGTTCATTTCTAGAACCTACAACACCAAAATATCAACAATGTGTGTTCATTTCTAGAACCTACAACACCAAAATATCAACAATGTGTGTTCATTTCTAGAACCTACAACACCAAAATATCAACAATGTGTGTTCATTTCTAGAACCTCCACAATGTGTGTTCATTTCTAGAACCTATAACACCAAAATATCAACAATGTGTGTTCATTTCTAGAACCTATAACACCAAAATATCAACAATGTGTGTTCATTTCTAGAACCTATAACACCAAAATATCAACAATGTGTGTTCATTTCTAGAACCTATAACACCAAAATATCAACAATGTGATTTCATTTCTAGAACCTACAACACCAAAATATCAACAATGTGTGTTCATTTCTAGAACCTACAACACCAAAATATCAACAATGTGTGTTCATTTCTAGAACCTACAACACCAAAATATCAACAATGTGTGTTCATTTCTAGAACCTACAACAAACAAAATATCAACAATGTGTGTTCATTTCTAGAACCTAAAACACCAAAATATCAACAATGTGTGTTCATTTCTAGAACCTACAACACCAAAATATCAACAATGTGTGTTCATTTCTAGAACCTACAACACCAAAATATCAACAATGTGTGTTCATTTCTAGAACCTACAACAAACAAAATATCAACAATGTGTGTTCATTTCTAGAACCTACAACACCAAAATATCAACAATGTGTGTTCATTTCTAGAACCTACAACACCAAAATATCAACAATGTGTGTTCATTTCTAGAACCTACAACAAACAAAATATCAACAATGTGTGTTCATTTCTAGAACCTACAACACCAAAATATCAACAATGTGTATTCATTTCTAGAACCTATAACAAACAAAACATATTCTGACTACCATGAAAATTGATAAAAACTCCTGAACTACAATATAGTTATTGCTTCTGTAGAACATGAAAATTTGATTTTACAATGAAAAGGTGAACAATAGAGGAACACGTGGGCTAATTTAACATGAGAATATTAATGATTTCTTTTACTGTAGCACTTCTAAATTGACGAAGTCATAAAGTTTTTCATTTAATGATATGACATCTATCACTGTAACACATGTGTTAAAAGTGTATCTCTCTGACAGACAATATGTCTCCAGAGTCTTCATTCAAATCATCACACAGGACTCTACCAGGGCATTATTGTTATAAAACTAAAAAGAAATTGTGATAATCAAGTCCATACTTCAGACAATACAAAACATAACAGAAGATATCCAGGATTGCATTAAATTTGACAGCCAAAAATGACTGAATTTTAAAAAAAAAATGTAAATTTGATCTTACAACTTAAAACTCTTCTGAACACATTCATGAAAAATTGATTTTCTTTAGGTTTCATTTTGAATCTAAATCTATAAAACATCTCTACAGCCATTCATTTTGTAGATAAATATCAAATACTGACATTTAAGAGTGTTATATAAGATCTGTGTACAAATTTTGATACACGATATTCATACAAAGTTTACTTAAGATCTTTTCAAAAAGTTTATGTAATTTTGTACAAATGTTTACACTTTGAACAAATGTAAGATCTTACTACAAATGTTTTGATAAGAAATATTTGCATAAAAGTTTATACAAAATATTACTTCAAAGTACTGAAGTGTTTTTATATTTTTACAAATGTTTAAATGTATATAAATACAATCTTATTTACAAATGTTATATACCAGTGTCTATATAAGAAATTTGAACAAATGTTTATACCAGTGTCTATATAAGAAATTTGAACAAATGTTTATACCAGTGTCTATATAAGAAATTTGAACAAATGTTTATAAAAAATTTCTAAGTACATAGATAGTGATATGAAATATTCCAAGGTAACTTGTAAAATTCATAACATACACGCCATTAAATCATTTACTACTTCTGTTATACAAGATGTTAAGTTAGCAAAATTGAAGAAGTTCATTTTTCAGTGTTAAAAAGATAAATTGCATGGCCATGATTCTACAAAAAAAAAAAAAGATCTTTTAGAACAGAAACATCACATCTTTTATAGTAAAGGAAATAAATAAAGCATTTTTTATTTTGAAATAAAAAATCTAAATGAGAATACATGTATAGAGGAGTTATTGCTTCAAAAGAAAATATTACCCTGTAACTGGGCTACAGTGTCATCCGGAGAGACTGTGATGATGGCTGGACTATTCCCAGTCATACTTAAGCAAATGATTCCAATACTACGACACAGTCACTAGATATATCCCCTATTCCTGACATCAGGGAAACACATCAAGCGCGATAGTACAACATCGCCTGTTTCTGGTAAACGCGCCAAATAAAGCTACAAAGTATAGGCAATTGATATACATTACAGCTTTTCCCCGACCTGAGTATCAATCAGGATTCCTGCGACATTTCCCTGTGGACTTTGAACTCTTGAATTTCTGTCTCTGTACCCAACACCTGCCTGTCACAGACTGATATTTTCTGGTGCCCCAGGGCGACTACACATATTCGAGGTGACAAATTCTGACTTAGGATTACGAATATTTCATTAAATTTACCATCATTCTGTACATCTAAAGGATTCTCACTTTAAAAACATGGAGATACATTACGCATTAATGCAAAAATAATACGAAATGTTGATGAAATGACATTATTTTGTGTAATAATATGTTTCTGTCTGTATAGACAAATTGATTTTATAAAAGAATAACACCTCTTCTGTCACAATATCAGATTTAACTTAACAGTGTGCTTTAGAAATGTACCCGGACATACAAAATTGATGTTCTATAGTCACCATGTCTTTGAAAAGCTTTATTATTGGTAGAACATCAGGAACATTATATACTTATATGAAAGCTATAGAATGGTTATTGATATGTATAGACATTTTTATTTATATTTATTTACTGTATTGAAATAAATCAAACAACAAAAAACAAAAAAAACCAACTAAGATAAGGTTGCACAATTTTTGTCTTAAAAGGACAGAGTTTCAAAGAAGTATTTTACCATACATTGTCTACACAATTTGCACTTATTGTTAACATGGTCTGATCATTGCTCCAGTCAACATATCATGAAATGATTCTTTATATCTTGCCGTGAATTATCATGATAATGAATACTTTAAAAAGAGATCTGACCTTTGCTTTTAACAGCCCACAAGAATAACATCCTCCTCGAACACTCTTTGTCTAACTGAGCCATGTTTGTATACATAAATGTCACGACCAAACACATTAGTCTGGGATCTACTGGAATTGCAGACCACCTTAAACACTACTGCAGACATCATAAAGACAATACACTGCTTATATCTATAGCTCTGGGTAGCACCACTAAGCTTCAGACTTGAGAGTGTGGGCTTATTACAGGACAATGATATAGACTTTATTGTTAATTCTAGAGGCAAGCATTAGATAAAGGTGTT